AAGCCATAACATGGGTTACGCTCCCCCTAAGCGGGCCCTCCGCATCCTGTCTCTGTCTTTATCTCAAATACCAAATGCCAATGGTATGAATGTATCTTATATCTGAAAAATCCAAACCTGTTCTAATCCACCTGAAATGACTAACGAATGGAAGACTTTGACTACGCAGCCATGCAATAGTCTCATTCCGTGCCTTATGGCAACTTGATGATTCTATTGCGCTCATCTTTTGGCACCACCCAGGGGAGACTTGGTCCTGTACCCAATGCTTAACTTATCTCCATTCCACTCAGCTACTCGCAATTTCTTGTGATATAGTGGGCGGAATATTATTATATGAGACAATTCAATGCAGACGTCTTTCCAAATTTGGCAGATCGACAGGTAATCGGTGAGTTACCACGATAGTTGCTATTCAACAACTCGCAACGTCCCATCGTCAACGCCTGCTATGAGAATTTCCCATTGCAGACGCCAACGAAATGATGTCATCGAGCTATCGATCAACTACCCTGGTTATCGCCTGGTACCTTATAGCACGATGCTAGGAGGCGAACCGGAAGAATCGATGAGCTACCTCCCCCAGTCTGCTGGGCCCCTTGCTTTACAGCATTTACACTTCCGACATTCCTCCCTTTGGAGACGGTTGCGTGTTTTTCCTGTTCGCAGATGATACCGCAATAGCCGTCAAAGAAAGGATGCCTCGCGAAATAACGAACAAACTTCAACGATGCCTTAACGCCTTTGCTGATTATGCCACCACGTGGAAAATCAAAATCAATGCCTCCAAAACACAAGCGATCATGTTCCTCCATCGGCAATCGCCCAAACTGAAACCGGCTCCATCTTGTACTGTAATCATGGATGGCACAAGGGTTGAGTGGTCCGCCGAAGTAACCTATCTCGGGATGTTGTTCGATTAAAAGCTCCTATTCCGCTTGCATGTGGAGAAAACCGTAGTCAAGTGTTCCGCCTTGGTTAGGTGTCTGTATCCGCTGATTTGCCGCAGATCCCGCCTCTCAAGGGTAATTGAAATTTCAAAGGAACTAAAGTTGAAAAGACGCGTCTGTGTCACTTGATAAGTAATACATGTAAACCACACAAATTCAAGAAATATAGATCATTTAAAGTCAAAAAGTCGCTTTTGGCTTAGTTTCGATTCACCCGTTCAACGACAAACATCAAGCAACAATGACTGGTCGTGGCAAGGGAGGCAAAGGTCTTGGAAAAGAAGGCGCCAAGCGTCATCGGAAGGTTCTGCGTGATAAAATCCAGGGTATTACCAAGCCTGCCATCCGGCGTCTGGCTCGACGTGGTGGTGTCAAGCGTATTTCCGGTCTGATCGAGGAAATCCGAAGGTGTTCCTAGAAAATATGATCCGTGATGCTGTCGCCTACACTGAACACGCCAAGTGCAAAACCGTCACGACCATGGATGTCATCTACACTCTGAAGCGACAGGGACGCACTCTGTACGGTTTCGGAGGTTAAAATGTATCACCAACGTAACAAAACGGCCCTTATTGTAGAAACATCTTTCCAAACAACTTCTATGGCCACTAGAGGCCCTATGGGAACCTACTCTGGAATGGCCGTCCCGGGGACAATCCATCGGATGATCACAAAATTATGATAAACAGTCTCCTGCTGTAAATTCATGAATTTTGATAACCATATTACAGGGGTATCTTCCTAAACACTTCTATGGACACTGTCGCTTTTTTCCCCACCTTTTTACCACAAGATGTGTGTCTCGGACGCGTTGGTGTCGGAGTTTCTACCGGGGCTGTGATTCATGGCACTCTCGTTGATGCCTTTTCATTTGACCCAAAGCAGCATTAAAAAAAACGCCATTTTGTTAAAAAAAAATAATGAGAAGTTCAAACCGACACCAGACACGTAAATTTGGAATTAAAATTTGAGCAGTTTTCTCGCGTTCAAGGATCAGACCTAGCAAAGTTGCCAACTCGTAAAGCATGTTGATTTATGTACCGTATGCGTGATAATGTTTGCACCATCGTACAAATAAGGTTCCCGTTTCACCTGTGCATACAATGCCTTGGTTTTCTTTGCATGCACGGAACCTTCGGATCACAAAGTGGCTCCACTTGTCATTTGTGAACACTAGCGCACCTAGCGGTAGAAGGCATCTTCTGCCTGCAGTTAAGATAGACAGCATTCTATGATAGTGTGAGTGCACATAGAAAGCCCGTGTGGAACGCTACATCAATACATCGCTTGTTGAGCAGAAAAATGAACCACCTTTTGATTTACCGATTTGTTTGCACTGCCCCTTCTGTTCTGTGACGGAACCTATAGCTCATACCGTAGTAGGCTGTGTATAAAAGAAAATGATTTACTTAGTTTGACAGTTGCACCATGACAAAGTGGCAGCGTATTTGTGATTTGTCCCACGCGCAAATGTCGCAAAAAGACATTTCAATCGCCGTGGGAGTGTACCGGTGTACCGTCAAAAGGGTTTTAGACCGAGAAAAGATAGGACAACTATCCGCGAAGGTGGCCACAGGTTGTCTGAGGTCAGCTCGGGTTCCGAGGGTTATCGCTGCTATCAAAAGGAAGATTCGGGTGAATCCAGTGCGTTCCATAAGGAAAATGGCAAAGGAACACGGGATCAGTGACTTTACGGCACGGAATATCGTAAAGGAAAATTGCGGGGCGAAGTCGAGGGCACGGAAAAAAACTCACATGATTACCAACCGCATCCGGGAGCTACGAACGATGCAAGAAAATCTTGAACTTCCTCAAGTGAAAAAATCCGGTAATCCTGTTTACCGTCGATCCCGTATCAAATTCCAGAAACGACCGGTATATTATGCCGTTTTCGTTTTTGCGGTGTAGCACTGGTGTAGTGTAAGCAGGAATAAGAGCGAGTCTTTGACAGCTCAACATCATTTGTTTGTAAACAAAGGTGCATCCTATATCTACACCCTGAAATATTTCGGTGTACGGCAGTGTAGCACCGGTGTAGCTACACCGCAAAAACGAAAACGACATTAGTTCGCTTCCGGTAAAAGACGTGGCCGACGAGCACAAAAACGTGTATCTGACCAAGCACCCTGCTAGCGTTATGGTGTTTGGATTGGTGGCTTCCGATGGCAAAAAAAAAATGGACCCGGTGTTCATTCCAGAAGGCAACAAGGTCAACACGGAGGTCTACATCGGGATTTTAAGTAAGAATGTTCTTCCGTAGATCAAAGAACAGTACGGTCCGAAGCAAAATGTTGTATTTCAACAAGATGGGGCTCCGTGCCACACCTCGAACCGCACTCAGAAGTGGTTGCAGGAACATCTTCCGTTCTGGGCGAAGGATATGTGGCCGCCATCCAGCCCCGATCTTAATCCGCTGGATTACTCAATATGGCACGTCATGAAGGTGAAGGCCTGTTCTAAACGCCTCCCGAGTACAGCAAGCCTCAGACAAACATTGACCCGTACCTGGAGAGAAAAAGATCCAGACTACATTATTAGAACCTGCCGTGCATTCCGGAAGCATGTGGAGGCCGTTATTACAGCAAGTGGAATCTCGATCGATGATTAATCTATATTAAGACTCTGAGAAACATCCCCCCTTTGAATAAATAAAAAAAAACTCGAAAACGAAAATTTTGAGATTTTTTTTTTTAATTTTGACAGTAATACATGACCGACGGATAATATTTATTTACATCACATACACGCAATTTTTATGAAATGGTATGATAAACTGCATATTAGACATTGATCACAGGCTCGCAAAATTCCAATGCTGCTGCATACATAGTATAATTGGGAGTCATCAAAAAGATGAAATCAGGCATAACATTTGATAACGGCACAAGAGCATTTGTAAACAAACTTTCTAAGGCCCTTTACACGCGAACCAAACTACACCCACGCAAACCAATACCACTTTCGGAAAGGTTATAGTTGCCTCTATCCGATAATGTTGTTGGTTTGCCTTTTTGTGAGAAATCCCAGGACTTTGACAATTTCACAGAATATCCTTTAGCATAATTATAAAAGATTGTCAGTTGGCCTTTTCGATCAATTTTACCATATTCGAGATAATTTGGTTAAAACACCACACCTTAAGGTATCAGTGAAAAATATAGCAATTCAAAAAGCAGAACTTTAATTTGTCTTCTGGACAATTGAATTGTAGAATGAATCGGAGTCCGAACTGAACTTGAAATTTTACGACGTTCCTCGAACTTCATCAACAGCAACTCTTCCCAGACAACCAGAATGTACGTATATTCAAAGTTGTTTCTGTGATTTACAAACATATATACAAACAATCAAATCGTGTAGAATGCAAAAAAGGGCTTATACCTACAAAAGTGGAGGCCATATACGTGCAAATTTAAATTTATTATGAATCGAGTTGATTTGACGTCATATTTGATTTAATCTATCATAACAAATTCAATTTGAAAAGTCTTACGATGTAATCCGATTTCATTTGTGGTACAGTACGATGGAAAAATGATCATCGCATATAAGTCGGAAATTTGCATTCTATACGATTTAAATTAAACACAATGCGATGTATGTCATACTTATATGCGATGTTGACTTAAACTGTAGTTATTTACGATACTGTATGTAAATTTTTATACGACTTCTGGTTGTCTGGGTTGCGACATCTCCAACGTGATCTTTTGCTGCAGCATTGGTACTCGGAATGTTTTGCCGGTAGGTTCCTGGCCACACAATTAAAACAATTCACCTAGGTATTCCAGTTAGATCCAGCTCATTTAGCCACATACCAGAGTTTGACATTTAATTTCTTCACTGTAAATAAAACTGTCTACATAGTGTAAACCCCCACCCTCCCAAATATTTGTTTGAGCGCGGGCTTAGTACAAAAATACGACAAATTAGGACCTGCGTCAAATATGGTGCCTCCACGGTAGTGGTGTTTTAGGGAGGCTATTTCATCTGTTAATCCTTATAGGTGTATATAAACATAATTATATAGGAAAACAAATTCATACACACCTGATAGCATATCGCACAGACATCATCGAAGGAGCGCAACTGCAGCGGTGTCGCCTCCGGTAGCGAGCTTATTTTGTGCACCGCCGTGCGCCGCTTCATAAATACACCCCAGCCTGCACGTGCCTCACACCAGATGTTGAAGTACGCGTGGATGCACATCATCAGTGCTCGAATTGCTCCGCCTACAGGAATGGTAGCTAAGTGTCAGGTCGCCATGTTTTGTTTTATTTTACATGATTCGATTTTGTTTGTTTTGTACAATTTTGATTCGATTGTCGTAAGTTTTTTTTTAAATATCCAAAGTGAAAAAATTGGTGAAGGAAATGAAGGGATGTAGGAAGAGCAAAAAATAAACTTTTTGTAAACGGTTAAGCCAAAAAAAACACAAAAATACAAAAAATAACATAAAATAAAGCATTATGGGAAAGGAAATAGCAGCAAGGTTTTGATTAGTGACAAAGGGTTCGCGGAAAACGCAGTCAGGTCACAACATAAACAACTGAGGCAGAGAAGAAGAATTACCTGATTCGAAAATTAGAATCCATGCTCCGTTGAAGAACAGGAATATTCCAAAGCAGAACTCTACCGAATTTCCAAACGCTCGTATGTAGTACACGTAGTCGTCCAATTTTTCCCAGAAAGTCTGCCTTCTAGCATCCAATAGGAATAACGTGTACGTCGCCAAGCTGACTAATACCTAAAAAGACGGACATAGTTATTGCTGAATAACAAGATCGCACCGCTGAATACTTATTATCATTGTTTGCAAAAAAAATAAACAGAGATGCAAACTGCCCATAAACGCATAACAGTCTCATGTGGAGGCCGAGAAAAACGCAGTTTATTTATTTTTTCTTTCATGGTATCTTATGGCTGAGATAACCATGTTTTGGTATTTTTTTACTATCTTTTAAGAACAAAACAGTCAACCATTGTGTGCACATTAGGGTGGGTTAACATGACAACCTTATGCTCCCCACTGCTCTTTCGATGCGCATTGAGGTTCCTTAAAAACTGTACGAAATTAGAGCGAATTTGGTTATAATCTGGATTTGCGGGAGAATTTTAAATTTGGTATGGGCAAATATATGGAAAATAACACGAAACTATTCATTTGCTTGTAAAATAATAAAAAAAAAATGTAAAACTTAACAACGGAAGGGATCGATTTTTCGTTTTCGGATTCCTTTTTCAAAACACAGATTTAGTTCAACCGTAAACTATATTTTCCTTTTACTTCACGACGGTTTAGAACACACTGGCTATGCTTTCAGTTACATTCGGGCTTGGACCAACACGCAACTCACTCACACAACCGCGGTCACTCCCAAACAACTCACACACCAAACATCAATCGCTCACACCAATGTAGCCAGTTTAAGGAACTTGTGCAACCGAGTCGTTACAAAATTACTCAATTTTAACTAAACCTCGAATTGGGAATATTATGCAGAACAACTTTGTCGAAGACTGCATAATGATTCGACTTCTGTTCAAAAAGTTATTATACTTTTTACTTTGACCAAATGCTTCACTTCACATATAATAGGTAGGTGCTCAGTAGGTCTATAGTATTTTTTTTTCTTGATCTGTTTTTCCGTCGATCTTGTTTTCCGTGCTGAGAACCAATGCTACCGACGCCAGGAAGGCAGCTCCTACACCTGGACCCTACCTATCGACCCATCAACTCATGAACCGGGGACCAACGGCTTTACATCCCTTCCGAAGGAAGGCGTGATCAGAGATGTTATGCTTCAGAACATCCCGACGGCGCCGACTGGGATTGAACCCAGGCCTGCTGGGGTGAGAGGCAATCACGCTTACCACTGCACTGCACATAACATTTTTTTTTCAGAAGTTAAAACGACTTGCGCACTTTGACAAACTTGTTCTGCATAGTATTTCCAATCTAAATCCGAGGTTCGGTTATCGAGCAAATTTTTGAATTTTTGGCAAGCGAAAGAATAGTTCGTGTCAAATTCCATACATTTGCCTATACAAAATTTAAAATTCTCCCGTAAATCCAGATCATAACCAAATCCGCTCAAATTTTGCACAATTGTTGAGGACCTAAATATGCATCGAAAGAGCAATGGGGAGCATAGAGTTGTGATTCACCATATAAACTTGACCCACCCTAGTGCACATTTTTAAATTCAGGTAGTTAATAATCGATTCCAGAAGATAACTAAGTTTTTGCCAAAAAGTCACACGGGACTGTTATGCATTTATGGGCAGCAAAGCAAATCTACGGCAACCGGTAATATCATTATTTTCCGGAAAAATCTCATATTATTGCAGCAAAAATCAATAGGTAGCATATAATTCTTATAGTTATAGTAATTCTAGTTTCGGCTGCAATAATTTAAAGCAATAGTGATAGTAAGTACACTTCCGATCATAAGTTTAAGGACACCCCAAAAAAAAAACATGACAAATTTGTTATGTTCATATCTCTGTCATGTTACGTTCAATTTTCGTTCTCTTTAGATCATTAATTTGAAAGGTATTGAATGGAACTTTCCTCGTAGGCAAATTGTTCAATATAATTTTCAAATTTTGTTCACCCAAAGTTATAATATTTTTCAAAATTGACTCTGAAGAATCGTGACTGATTTTCTCAGAATTGGGAGGGCCAAATTAAATTTTGAAATAAAAGTAGTAGTAGAACACTTATGCTATACCATTCATACCATTCAAATAACCTTTGGAGATCGAAAATTGAACGTAAAATGAGAGATCATTTAACAAAACATATTTGCATGGTTTTTTGGGGGTGTCCTTGAACTTATGATCGGTAGTGTAAATAGCGAGGGGACCGGGGAATAGCGAACCGAAAACGGTACTCCGGCGCTTACCTTAACGATTACTTCCACTGAGAACGCCGTTACTGCTAGCAACCAAGTCGACGGAGAATGGCGAGTCCATAGGATACTCAGCAGTCCGATTGGAGTCATCAGCAAGAATGCACACACCATCAAAGCTCGGGCATGGCGTTTCCTAAATTTCATCAAACCGACACATAAATTACGGACTGCCACTGTTAAACGATTTTTTTTCAACTCACCTCGATGGATTCCTTGCAGCACTGAGCGACATCAGGATTGGAGCAACGATGTTGTGCAGGAAATGTAACAACGCCGTGATCAATAGACACAGATTCCGGCACAATCGAATGAATCTTTTATCTGGGGTCAGCGAAGTAAGTCCAGTCTGTAGTGCTAATATATAGAAAAGAATTGCCGACACGGTTCCTATAGATTTGTCTTCATCGTAATCCTCCGATAGTAGAAACAACTGGAACGCCTTTCCGATGTAGTGACAGATGAGGGAAATGATACTGGTCATTCCTAAAACAGCTGTCAGTGTCTCACACCCACTCACGAGCAAACTTTGGACAGTGACAGCAAACCTTAGGGGAACATCCGAGTTTAGCAGTAGACTTATCAGCTGTTCGGTCAAACGGATAGTCCAGAATGCCCTCAACACACAGGGTACATTTAGCCGTTGCCACTCGTTTTCTATGAGTGCCGAGATGCCAAAATTACTAGCAAAATTACGTGCATGCTGGTAGCCATTTAGAATAGTCTTGACCACATCGAACGATGAGCTCCACAGGGCAATTTTGGATAGAACCAACGGCATGATGGCGGCGAACGCTGGGGAATGTTTAAGCACTACCGTTGGCAGCGGCAGCATTGCCAGGAAAAGTGGCATCAGGAAGCTGAATGGTAGCGCTTTCTGGATCAGCTTGTATCTGAAAGCAAACGATGGAATTGATTTCTGTTTTTTTTTTGAATAAATGTATCCTGGTAGGTTTATCACTTACTTTGGTCCCAAGTGGATGTACGCAAAAATAACCCCCATCAGCCACTGGGCCAGCAGATGGGGTAGTATGGAAAGTGCGACGCCCCCGGGATCCAACAGTCGTTCCATGTTGAGGGATAGAATGTCCTCCAGTAAACTGGGACCGTCCGATATGACCGACAGGGCCGACACGTTGCTCCAGTAGGACAGGAAAATGAGGCCAACAGAGACGATGTACATGTACACTATGACTAGGTGCCTTGTCCACAGCATGAAGACGCACGCCGCGCTGATGCATCCTAAAAAAAATAATCAGATTTCGATCTTAAAACAAAGTTATTGAATTGATGCTGTAGTATCGCAGGCAAGCAGACCTAACCCCCAGCGGAATTATGGCACTTTTGTAACGTTATATGCAAATCTTTAAGTCCATTTCCTGCACGTCCTTCAATGAGCATGAACATCGATAACGGTGCCGACCAAGTTCTTACAGTTATCGGGGAGGGAAAGAATTGTTAGTTCGACATTCGTTGTTACTAGATACCATGTTGCCAATATGTCTTTGTCAATATCAACAGGTTCAATGCAAACACAATGTTGGTTTATTTTTTCAAACCAGCCTTGGGGGCTACATTGTGACAATCAAAAATATAAATAAATCAAGTAGATGATCCATCTTGCTCCATCTTACTGTATACTCTGAATCCCCACGGTTGTCACGGGAAGGATATTTTTTAGTATGAAGAAGGTTGAATTTTGGAAAGTGATGAGATCTTTGAAAGCGTGTAACTGTCAACTCGTCAATGGTTTTTTAGCAGTGGTGCCAGTTTCTCCGAATTTGGATGAAAAATTGCACCTAATACCTCGTTCTCATTACGCTCTATATCACGTGATATAACGAGATGATATCGACAACAATCAATACGAAACTAACGATTTTAAATTTGCTCACTACATAACTAGCCTATTGGTCCCAAGCAAATCGATTCTTCGGGACCTACTAGTCTTAGAGTTACCTCTATGATATCAATATCAAGTTGAGGTGTTCACATTACGGTGACTTAATATGGTTTGTCATTTATGACAGTGAGAAAAAGAACAACTGTTGTTCTTTTTCTCACTGTCATAAATGACAAACCATATTAAGTCACCGTAATGTGAACACCTCAACTTGATATCGATATCAAAGTTACTTTGTTATTGCTTGCATGTGCAGCATCAGGGATTTGAGTTTGAGAGCGTACGAAGCCAGTACCGAGGAGATCCGGATACTTTTGACCAATGAGTGTCGGAATATTTGTTGCAGTCTGACCAGTTTCATATCATACAAATGGAAAACTGTTAAACGCTGCATTTTCACTTTCAAAACGATGGCTTCCAGGATCAGGACATTGCGTCGATTTTGCAGGCTACACAGGACAGCCAGAGCAAGGTAAAGAAAGCCCACATGGACATTCTTTAAATGCGGATATTTTTAGTATCAGCGAACGTCTGAGGCGGAAACAACATGCGCAGCGTTCAGAACCATTGATTACAGTTGGATGACGCTCGCGAGAAATCTATTATGCACCTACTTTCACCTTGATGTTGATGACTTCCCATCGGGAGAGCTTCTTGATTTCCTCCTACGGTACCTGGGCAGTCGACACAAAACGGCGTCCGTTCTGGCGACGGGACGTTTTGGTTGGGTACATTTTTTTTGTTCTACGGGCACACTCCGAAGGCGATCACCACCTTCCAAGTTGGCGACAGTTGAATGGAGCCAATCCGATGGTATTGATTGCGGAAGAACTTCGTCTCGGTTAGGTGGGTCAGGAGATTTAGAATGGTTGCTTGAAACTGCCAGTTCGAATTTTTTATAATGTTTTGATCGACTCGACGGAAAAGTGACACTTGAAGCCAAAAAATAGCGACCAGCTGTATCGTGGCCTGGTTGCCAGTCACTGCTTTTCAGGATTTTATCAAGTACACGGTTAGAAAAAAAGTACCCAAAATTTTGTTCTTTTCACTCATCTTGGCACTATAGTGCAGGAACCCAATAGTAGGTAAAGCGGGTCAAAGTAATTTTCATTTACTTGTGTGCAGTTCGTATGGAATTTTCTACTAGCTTTTTAACCAAAAGTAAGTTAGTTCTACCCAACAGTAGGTAAATATGATTATACCCAACGTTGGGTTCCCGCAATTTACTACCCCTGTTGGGTGGTTTTGCTCCTTCTTTTTTGACAACATTAGAAGGAGAAAATGAGACAAACTAGTCAAAAGTAGGTAAAAGTGAACTGACCGTTGGGTACTTTTTTCTTACCGTGTACACAACATGATATGAGCTACACGGGTAGAAATCTCCTTATACCTTTTGGCAAATTTCTATTGCTGATTATTCATAAAATGTATAAGCCAACTAATAAGCAGACACCTTGCAAAAAGTTAATGAAGATCATGTGTCAAATGAAATGTATAAGCGATCACACATACCTTTTATGCATTCTTATAGGTTTGTCTTTTGGAATGTATAAGGCTGATGTTTTGGCAAAAATGTATAAGTGAAACACATGAATAAAATAATTGATTTTCGTTTCGTGTATATCAAGAACTATTCATGATATAGATTGACAGTTCGTTTGTATGGGTTATCACGTAATATAGAACATGATATAGCTGCTATTTCACGAATCACTCTTTATCACTTGATATAGAGCGTAATGAGAACAGGGTATAATACCAAAAATCTCGTAGAGCTCAACAAGATAGCTCTTTGTACTGTCAGTGCAGATATCATTTGAAGACCATTAGCCGGGTTCAGTCTGATATTTTCCGCTTTTGTATTATGGAAAGCGAAACCTCGGAGCATCTGTTGTAGCGCACTTTATGGGAGAAACAGTGTTGGGAACAGGGGTTGAAACAGTTGACGTGCGCGACAGTCTGTTTGTATTCGTACTCTCATGCTCTACCGTCGTCTCTCTTAAGGCCCGAACGCAATGTGGGCGGAAGCGGAACGGAAACGGAAAGTTTGACAGTTGTCACAAATGGCATCAAGATGCCTAACCGAAATCGATTTGGTTCGAACTAGTTTTCAATTCGACAAGATCGGGCTTTTCCGCTGCCGTTTCGCTTCCGCTGCCATTGCGCTTGGGGCTTTACACAACACAAACAGTAGAACCAACAATCAATACGAAACTAACGATTTTAAATTTTGGCTGAGCCTTATCAAATAAAATAATGAACAAAAAAAATGATCAGATATGTTAGTACAAGGACATCATTTCTTGCTATTTTCAGAATTCACACAAGCACAACATCAGCAGCTCTTATTATGAGAAAAACTCAAATACATATAGTTGTGACGGTCTTTGGCGACAGTGTCGTATGACATACTGTACTGTAATTTGATAGCTTGCATTGCAAGTGCCGGAAGCAAAGGCAGTCGATTATCACAGAAAATGCGTCGACTACGGTGACCGCTTACAAGACTGGTTGGGAAAATATAAAAAAAAATCAAATCTCACCAATGACCATGATCACGCTTGATTTTCGTAGGCGCACGCTGTTTCCAGTCATCATAGTCGTTCTGGCCCTGCGGTCGAGTATGGCGGTGTGGTCCCTCAACGATCATTTTCAGGCAAGTATGCTTCCATTAGCAATAGGTATTTTTCTGATCAGTTTTCGAGTTCCAGTGTTTCGCCTCTAGATACCGAATCGTTCACCGACTTCCTACAGTGGAGTAGCATTTCTATTGCCAACGACATTGAACAACCACTGTATAGCATGAGTCACCTAGCTTCACGCTCAGGACGCCATTCTGGAAGCTCCTGGTTCTTCTAGTTCAGTCCCGCTGATTACTGCCAGCGCTCATCACAGTCGTCCAGGATCTGTGACTAGATGTGGATCAGGGGTCTTCCAGTTTGCAAGTACAAATGTGATCAAGACAATGCATTCCCAATGTTGCTTATTCCAATCCTGAACAACACCGAATCGTAGCTGCCACGTTCCCGAAACTGTCAGCCCAGAACGCGTTGCCTACCGCCCCTATGGAAGCCCCTAAGACTCTCAACACAGTCGTGTTTACTAATTACTGTCACAGTAGTCGTTCTGGCCGTATGGTTGAGAACGGGTTATTGAAACCAATTCCTCGCCTGATTAGCCTCCACGTTTCAGCGCAACGTCTTCTTAACCACCGAATGAACCTCGCCTTTCCGATTACGAACTAAGATTGACGACTTATTTTCGACTGCTGTTGAGTCCAACTACGATGCAATAGTTCTTACCGAGACCTGGCTAGATGATCGAATTCACTCAGCACAATTATTTGGCAGTATTTTCTCAGTTTTTCGGAATGACCGTAACCGGATGAACAATGTCAAATCACGTGGTGGTGGCGTCTTGATTACGGTTTCCAAACTACTGAACTGCTGCCTCGATCCTGCTCCGGTCAGTACTTCTCTTGAGCAGTTATGGGTCAAGATTACGACATCACACAACCAGGGCTGTCATCTGATCACTCATCACTGCACGCAATGTGCCGATTTTCTGAAATCCACAAAGTTAGAATGAAGCAATCACAAAGTTTGCTAGCCTTTCCCACTGCGTAAGTGTACAGCAGCGGAGAAGAGAAGAAAGGCACACACCCAAAAATAACGAAAACTCAATGTGTAGCCATTGCTCCGACGGCTCCAACGCAAAGAGCGCCACTCGGTGTAGGGTTGCAAGCGGGAAACCCAACAAAAAGGCAAAATTCTTCAAAATCTCATGCCATCGTGGTAAGCAAAGTCTACAAAGAAGACATTAGCTGCTTGTTGTATTGTAATCGCTACCTGCTCCGCACGGAGTGTACCGCTCATTGTGTGAATCGCTTTCGCTAGGATTAGTTGGAAAAGAGTGCGCGAAGCAAATGGGAGAACCACACACTCTTTGTCTTGTGTTGTGCGATACATGTACAAAGTTGCTTTGCAAACGCTCTGAGGCGCTTTCCAGCCCTGCACACAACATTATAAGCATCGGCGTTATGTACCTTCCTCCTGACCGTAAATATAATTTGAGCTGCGTTGAGAACCATACCAGTTCCATTGGCGCTGTATTGTCCCGATTGCATCACAACGATCTAGCCCTGCTATTTGGCACCTACAACCAGTCTGAGCTTGTTTGGAATATTTCCAACCATTGATATTCTTTGGTTGCACATGCCTGCTTCCTGCTGTGCTCTTTTGGATGGTTTCAGCCTGCATCGTTTAATGGAAATTAATTCTGTACCAAACAGAAACTCTTGTGCTGGCGAACGAAGCCACCGCACTAGAGTGCAGTGTCG